ACGATTGAAAAAGGTAAGAAATGCTCACAGGAAAAGGAAATTTCTATAGTGCCAAATTATTGAGGTGCATTTTTGAAAGACTCATCAGCCCATGTTCGACTGCAAACATTTATTCAGTGTCTTGTCGGTGATAAGTTTTTTTTATTTTTCTCACCTTATAAGTATGATATCTGAGGTCCACTAGCTTAAAGTAGGTTGGAGTTAATGATCTTATCTCATCAACATTTATAGATGGTTGTATTTTACTCAATTTCGGTGAATATGATAGTAAGGGAGGGTGTCACTATGATGCAGGCCGAAAATAAATTAATGTGATGCAGACGAAGCATTAAATGATGATAACGTGTGGATGTCTTGTTAGACAGTAATTGAATAAAACTAACAATTTATTATTTCTTAAACAAATCCAAAATCAGTGATAACCCAAGTGAGGTTTATTGAGAGTAAACTTAGTTACTATGTACATCTATGTGTAATTGTCTCTACATGTGTGTGATTGTTTAATTCTATTGCATGGTTAAATGACATTTCAATGTGTTTGATATGTGCATTTATATGAATATTTTTTTTAAGAGCAATATGATTACTTGGTGTAATGCGTTTGCATGCATAGTGGGTTGAGATGCATTAGCAGTAAGTGTGTTGTGTGTCTTTTGATAATGTTGAGTATCAATGTCTAAGGGTACATTGGTGGTATGTACTGAAGATTGTGGAGTGTGACATTTGGATCATGAGTGAAGATGTGATTAAATGTTGAAATTATTTATCAGTTAAAATCCTGATCATGTAGAGTTTGAGAGTGACACTTCTATCACTTCTGTTGGGTGGAGACTCATTATTCACTTAGGTTGGGAGAAGTGATGTGATGATAGAGGATTATCCTATTGACTTATGATTTATTGTGGTTTGTCAGTTAGACATGAGTTGAGTGATCAGTCTAGTAAGTATGGTGAGCAACAATAGGAGATGTGCGTTCTCAAGGTGAGTAACATGAAATAGGATAGGATAAGTGCATTTTTTTCATAAGGTCATTTATGCATTTGTTGCATATGTGTGATGTTTGTTGATTAATTTGGTGTTTGTCTGTTGTTCTGTGTGAACATATTTTTTTAAAAGATTTATGTGCTATGCTATGTTAAATTTTCATCTCATTTTTGTTTGTTCTTGATTGTTTACTATTCTCATCTACTTCTACTTGGATGTTTTTCATCTTAACCCTAGTGAGTACATGTAGCAGGTATGGTATGTATTTCGGGTCCCAAGCGAGGTAAGATCTATGATTCCAATTTTATTGGTTACTTTGATTATGCAAGTATTAATTGTGTGTTTTGTTTGTTTGCATATTGATTGGGTATCAATGTGGAGATTTGTTGAGTTTTTATACCCTATATATCACAGGCGATGATATAAACGTCAGATTGAATTTCATAGGCATTGTCCGATGAATTAAATTGATTGCCAATAATCAAGTCCAAAGGCTTGACCCAAAAACAATGTGGACAGTTCAAAGTAGTTTAAGAAATTAATGCTAATCACGGCCCATATATTTACATATTGGATGGCTTTTAATCTTCGCCCATTTATCCTTTATTTGGCCCTAATTGATAACATAATGTTAAACTATATATAGCCTTCTTCCCTTTGCAAATTAACATGCGTGATTTGTGCGCAATTGAGGAAAACGTGGCCACTCCTAATTAGTGTGAAAATCGGCTGCCTTTGAGAAAAGAAAAAAAATCGGTGAATTCCCTTTGTATTTTGGTCTTCCTTTGGTATACGAATGCTAAAATGAAATTAAACTCAAGAATCATAACACGAGAAAAAATGGACGTGAATTGAATAAGATGACATGAAAATTAAGTTAATTTATCAAAAATAGTAAAAGTGAAATTAGTAAAACTTACGTAATATCTTAGAAATATTTGTATCACACTCCACAGCTAAACGTGCGTTGTACGTTATTTTGAAATACTTTATAAACGTTGTAAAAATAATATTTGAAATTCAGTGAATATAAAAAATAGTTTAAAAAACTGTTTATGTGAAATGAAATTTTTGTACAATTAAATTATTTATTTACGTGTATGATAATAATTAACATTAATTTATATATATCATACTATAATTCAATCAATTAATTTTTCAAATTCATGCACGAACACTTTCTATATTTTGGGGACTATTCAATTACTCTAGAAATACTACAATTCACTTATTTATATATGTCCATCTATATCAATTAACGTTTATTTATGGATATATAAAATATAACATTAAATAACCAAGTTCATGTACACATGTTTTGGGAGTTATTCAATTATTTTAAGAGTAAATAAATTATTCAAGTTCATGAACACGTATTTATTTTCAAGATTATTCATTTTATCATAAATTATTCTAGAGTATATAAATTATTAAAGATCATATAATTTGAGAGTTATTCAATTATTAAAGGAGTAGATNATTAAATTTCATATTGATTCACTTCACTTACATTTGTTTAAATGTATATACATTATCTTTATTTTTTTATTTTTTATATTCATTGATTCAAATTAATTAAATTTCATGTTCATGAATCAATTTGATTGTCCTCGTACAATTCAATTATTTATTTGCGTGCATGGTTAATAATTAATATTCTTTTGAATAAATATTGAAAAATGAAAAGTAAGGTACTATTGAAATAATTAAATTGTAGTAGGGCTAAAATCGTCCAGAAAATAATTTTCACTTCATGCGATATTTAATAAATTATATATTAGCATTATACAACACAAGTTATTGTACATGGGGCTCAAATAATTTTAAACTCAGTCTTCACGATTTCTTTTATTATTAAATATTTTATATTCTCATTGGAAAGAGTGTTTATTCGTAGCTATGTCAACGAGTCGAACGAAAACTCAGCCAAAAAATGAGGCTCGGCCCGAGCTTTCAACTCAAGCTTTAGCGGGCCGAGTTGGCTCGATTTTTTTTTTTTTTAATTCATTATAAATCTATACTTTTTATAATATATTTAAAATTTGTACAATTTATGCGTGTTATAAACAATAACTAAACATTAATATATATATAAAAAATACATTTAAATTTTTAAAAATTAAATTTTTTTTTATATGTTACTTAGTCACGGGCCGGCCTGGCTCGAGCGACGCCCCAAAATGAGGCTCGGACCGAGCCTCGGCTGGGTGGAACCGAGCCCGAGCTGCCGACTCGGGCTTTTTCCAGGTCGAGCCCGAGCCAACGAGCTTTTTTGCCGCCCCTACTTATTCGTGTGATTTACATTTGTCCGGCTTCAAAGGACTTCGCCTATTTCTTCATACATTGTAAAATCGACAATTAAAGAAAAAAAAAAACAAAAAAACAAAACAAAACCAAGAGTACGTAAAGAAATATGCTTTCTTTCTTAACTCAAATTTGACTTTCGGTATAGAAATTTGCCCCAAATTTGATAGTATAATATACTAAAGAAATATAATTTTAAATTAGAATGCTTTTCTTTTAAAACATAAAACAACTAATTAGTTTACAAAATTAGTCCAAGTTGGCTTTGTATAGCTCACGTATATCTTAGCTGTTAGAATTTGGGTGTGATCCGAATTCGATTAGGAATTAAATTAGGAATTTATTGGGAATTGGTGGTATGACTTGAAAAAGCTTTAAAGGAGTCCAAGATTGATAAGGAGAAGGTTTCGCGATTTTGGCAATTTTTCTTTCCTATTCTAACTCAAATACTCCATTATTTATTAGACCTATTATATTATGATTCTACCTTATATTTGATTCTTCATTGTATTATATTCTTTTAGTATGTTAAGGATTCTTTGATTATAAATATATGATGTACAATGCTTATTGAGATTAGTTTGATTCCTTTGTAATCATCCATTATTGATTATCGGTGAATTTTCCTCCTCTATTCGTGATTTTTTTTTTTTTTTCAAATTGAGATTCCACATAAATCTTGCATTTTTGTGATTGTTATTTTAATCTAACAAATTTGTATTTGAGCCAGGTTTGATAGGGAGAGCCAGTTCGATTTCGTATTAGAGTGAGATTTGATCAACTCAGATCGATATTTGATTTTTGACATAACAAGTATGAAGTTTTATATTCTGCTTTTGGATCGCAATACCAGATTTTTGTTTGGAAGTGAAGGAGAAGCAACGTAAGGATCGAGTTGTGATAAGGGGACTAAGAATGCCACAATGATATGTCTTGCAAGGTTCTATGATCACGTTTGATGCAACATCACTAAATTGAAGAAAATAGACATTAGACCTCAAGAGAGGTTCGATGAGACTAATTGGTTGCTTATGCTTTGATAAGCGTTGACTCAAATGAAGCTAGTTGTGATTTTGTTTGTCATGGTGATAATTCGAGGAAATTTGATAACTTAGATGGAATTAGTTGTGATCTTGATGATCTAGTTGTTCATGATGATAAGTCGAGTAAATTTGGTTCCTAAGGTAACACCACTGATAAGCAGTGCTTGGATTTATTTGACATATGTTAATCAGATTGCCTTTAGGAGCTTTTGTGGAAGAGGTTTAGAATTTTGTCGGAGAATTTTTTTTGTTGAGAATTTTGTTAGAGAATTTTTATTGAAAATGTGAATTTTATTTCTTAAAGTGGAATTCGTTTCCAAAAGGAGAAATATTATTATTGAAAATCGAGATTTTGTTCTTTGCAGTGGAAGTTGGGTCAAGGTGAAAATTTGTTAGAATTTGAGTCAAATTCTATTGATAATTTAATTGGGAGTTCTATTATGAATTGGTACTATGACTTGAAAAAGTCTTGAAGGAGTTGAAGACGGATAAGGAGAAGCTTTCTCGATTTTGATAGTTTTTTCATTTCTATTCCAACTCAAATACTCCATTATTTAGGGAAAATTGCAGCCACGATCCAAAACATTTTCGTTTTTTGCATACTTTACCTCAACCTTCACTTTGTACCACCACAGGTTCCAAACCTTTGAGAAATTCGCACCAGAGGTCCACCTAGACAGAAACTGACCAAATCACGATTTGTCACCCTGAAAAATTAAAAAATGAGATATTTTGACCATTTTAAGGAGGAGCATTTCTGTTCATACAATAATTTCCCTTTAAAAACAATAAATAAAAGAAAAAAAAATCACCCCACCCAAAGTCCATCCCCAACACCAAAATCCTACCGCCCACCGCCACTTTGGCCGCCTCAAACGCCACCACCATGGTCACCAAATATGTCCTCCTCCGCCCTCATTCTCCCTTCATTTCTCGTTGCGGCCTCTTCCCCAAATCCGTCATCTCCTCCAAATCTTTGAAATAAAAAGTTTTTCCTTATCTTGTATTCTGCCCATTTGTTATCTAAGAAAAATAGTACTGGATTTCTCAAAAAAGACAAGACTTTGGATATTTTGCAGCTTGGGAGCTCTTTTAAACTTTTTCAAAAAATGTTATTTTGTGGACAGAAAAGAGAGGGAGTGAGGGGAGATGGGGATGATTTACTATCAGCAGGTAGGGAGTTCTTATAATGAAACTTTGATAGTTTTGGAGTCTGATATACAGTATGCAATGCTATGTAAGTATTCATGTTCAGAGCTTAGTTTACTTTCCAATTTCCACTTTAGGAAGCACTTTGTTTTATGTATGAAAATGTTAGTTATCTTATAATATAAAATACTCTTTTTAAAGCAATTGGAATCAACTCCACCTTGATGTTAATTGATCCCAATTTAGAGAAATGATGTCTGATTTTGTTTTCACCGCCAACGCAGTGGGTGGGTTTGGGATTGTACAGGGCCATGGTGGAGGGGGCTGGGATAGGACGCCTCGCCATGATGGTGGTGGATTGTTTGGGGATGGGGGGGAGTGGATAAAGATGAAATTGGATGAAGGAGATGAATGATGGGTGTTTGGAGATTTTGCGGAAAAAATGTAAACGAAGAAACAAAGAATACAAGGAGATGCATGAAGGATGGAGAGGACAGATTTGGGAAAGACGCCGCAGCGAGAAATGAAGGGAGAGTGAGAGCGGAGAAGAACAGATTTGGTGACCATGGTGGTGGTGTTTGCAGCGGCCACAGTGGCGGTGGGTAGCGGGATTTTGGTGTTGGGGAAGGATGGGAATGAGAGTGGGAGTGGGAGTTGGGTGGGTGGGAGTTTTTTTTTTCTTTTATTTATTATTTTTAAAGGAAAATTACTGTATTGACAGAAATGCCCCTCTTTAAAATGGTCAACATATCTCATTTTTTAATTTTTCAGGTTGACTAACGATGATTTGGACGGTTCTGTCCAAATGGACCTCCGATGCGAATTTCTCAAAGGTTTGGGACCTATGGTGGCACAAAGTGAAGGTTAAGGTAAAATTTGCAAAAAACGAAAAGGTTTGGGAATGTGGCTGCAATTTTCATCATTATTTATTAGACATATTATATTCTCGTAGTACATTAAGGACTATTTGATTATAAATATGTAATGTACAACACATATAGAGATTGACCATGAATAAGTGTAAATTAACCTTAACACGTAACTTTTCACAATTTAGAATCTAATACATGATTTCAAATATATGCATGTAGACAAAATTATCTAACCCACACGAGCACACAAAAATAATAAATAAGCTGAAAATAAATTATTTTTTTTTTGCACTCGAACAAGCACACGAACCAATAGAAACTCAATGTTTTTTCATCCCCCTCCCCCCAAACTTAAAATAGACATGTTCTCAATGTCTAAAAATATAACATGAAATATATAAAAATTAAGGGCAAAGCAGGGAACTAAGTACTCCCCTGATATATATTTGAAGGTGATGGATGGACTGGCATGAAAGTTCTAGCTCACTTGCTATGTCTTTTTCCTTATCCAATGTGTTCAGGTGACATGTTCCTTCAAAATAGTAAAAAACAATCATAACATGAAACAATTTGTAGTAAACTCATATACACCTTAAAGGAAAATATGGGGATAAAGATACCCTATACTACTAAAAGCAATAAAAATTACTTATCATATATCTAAAAAGTAAAATAAATAAAAAGAAAGAAAATTGGGTTGCCTCCCAATAAGTTCTTATTTATAGTCATTAGCTTGATTTTATTCTTTTGACTATTTATGGTGGCTTGAAAAGAGAGTTTTCAGCCTTGCATC